AGCTTTGATTACACCTCCTGTTTTTAAGATTGTAAATAGCCTTTCCTGTAGAGACTTTTTCCCCTCATACAGATGGACATAAAAAGCCAATGGCAGTTGGCCGTGATCACTCAGAGACACCTGTGTAGCCACTGCCTCCCATGAACCTGGGAAGGCCCCTGGCTCGACCTATGTGGGAAACGCTGCAGCCCTTGCTGCCAACGTCATGCCTGAGCACTGCTCCGCGTGTGTCGCCACATGCTCACCCTTCTCATGGCTACAGAAGAGGGCGTGGCTGCCCAGCCTCCTCCCCATGAGAGATACCCGAAGACAGCGCGTGCCCGGGGCCTGGTGGGCACCAGCTGCTATCCGCTTGGTCCCCACAGCACTCTGGGAGGAGAGGCCAGGAGTTTTCTCCAGCCAGAGGACTGAATGGCAGCACTGTGTGTGAAACCAGACAAAATTGCTATTCAAATCCCAGTTCCGTCCCTCAGTGGCTGTGTGACCTACAACAGGATGCTTAGCGTCTCTGAGCTTGGTTTCCTATCTATAACTGGACACATGATGGCCACCTCCTCGCTCTCTGGTTTAATTGAGGTTCCCTTGCTTATTCTTTATACCACCCACTCTCATTGAGGACCAGTGGTTTTCTTGTTCCCTCTCCATCTTCCCCCACTGGAACAGGGCTCCCTGAGGCAGGAACCGTGTCCATTTGGTCTCTGCTGGGCCCAAGCACTTGGTACGGTGCCCACCGTGCAGCAGGCTCTCCTAGCGGTCCTGGCAGGTAGAAGGACAGGGTTGCTGTGGATGTTTTGTTGTGGCAGTCATATTTTATTTAGTTTTTTTGAGACTGGGTCTCGCTATGTAGTTCAGGCTGGCCTGGAACTCGAGGTGATCCTCCTGCCTCAGCCTCCTCAGGATTGGACTGCAAGCGTGTGCCACCACACCCAGCCTTACTGTGGGCATTGAACAAGATAAGGCACTAGAAGGGCTCTGGGTGAGAAAGAATGCTGGGTGCCAGACACATGGGACTTGGGACAGAGTCCGTGAAGCTCAGACTCTCCTGCCATGCCTGGGCTCTGGGCTGTGTGTGCAGAGAGCAAGGCTCTGGGTTCGAACCCTGCCACCCTCACCCACTGAGTGTGGCTCTGAAGACCAGATAATGACAGCCCTCACCTGGGAGGCTGCCGAGGACTCAGCTGCTGGGGCAGCTCTGGGGCAAGGGGGTGACCCTGGCCTTAGACAACAGCCCCAACCAGACCCAGCAGCAGAGCCAGTGCGGGGCGCACCCGGAAGGTCAAGGTTGCCCTGCCTTCCCTCCTGCTCCCCTGAGCCCAGGCGAAGAGGGGACAGGAGCTCACTGTGTCCCCAGACGGGAAGGAAGCCAGGGGGTGTCAGGCCACCAGAGCCTTTATTTCATGAACCCAGCTGGAGAGTAAATTCCCTGGCTGCGACCCTACCCTCCCAGCTGCTCCCTGAGTGGGAGTAAACTAAGCAAAGAGGCCGAGATTGGCTTCCCATCAAGTGCACCCGCCCAGAGTTCCGACCCCTCCCTCCTTCAGACCCCACCTTCCCCCATCCAGCCTCGCCCTGTCTGGCACCAGGCGGGGCGCTTGTCCTGTCCGCTGTCAGGCAGAGCCACTCGGGCGGGCCTGCTGAGTGCACCTGCCAGTTTCCTGGTCAGTGACTCCGATTCCCCAGAGGGTCCCAGCAGGGGGCCTGGAGGAAGAACTGGTGGCTGGGGCAGCTCCACCAGGGTGAGGTCCCATCCCAGGCCCTCCACTTGACTCTTCCACACCACCCAGCCCTGGGGACACGGGGACAAAGCCTGACCACCACCACCATGGGTGATGAACAGCACACCTGTTCATGCTAGGAAGAAGCTTCAGGTCCCAAAGTGAAAGGCGCCATTGGGACCGCTGCTCGGGACCCCCACCACCCACCCCGAGGTCAGCACCTGTCCTCCCGTGCAGCTGGACCACTGGACTTCCCAACAAGGTCCCCAGCTTTTACCTGCCATTCACTTGCTTGGAAATTCTTGAGTCCCTACAGGCCTTTTTGCCTCAGCCAGACCCTAGAGAACTGTGCAAGCCCCGTGGGCCTGTTAGCCATGTCTGAAAGTAACCAGAGCAGGAGAAAGAAAGCCAAGGATTACCTACATTTCAGGCTGACTTGCTCAGGAGATGGATGGATGGATGGATGGATTGATGGATGGATGGACGGATGGATGGATGGAGGGATGGATGGATGGATTGATGGATGGACGGATGGACGGATGGATGGATGGAGGGATGGAGGGATGGATGAAGGGATAGATGGATGAAGGGATGGATAGATGGATGGATGGATGGACAGATGGATGGATGGACAGATGGATGGAAGGATGGATGGATGACAGATGGATAGATGGAGGGAGGGAGGGATTGATGGATGGACGGATGCATGGAGGGATGGATGGATGCATTGATGGATGGACAGATGGATGGATTGATGGATGGACAGATGGATGGATGGATGGATGGACAGATGCATGGAGGAATGGATGGATAGATGGATGGATGGATGGATGGATTGATGGATGGACAGATGGAGGGATGGATGGATGGATGGTGTGTGTAGAAGGAAAGGAGGAGTGGTAGGTAAGTGGACGGATGGGTAAGTAGATGAGTGAGTGGGCTGATGATAAATGGGTAGGTGGATGGGTGGATTATAAGGGAAGATGGTAGGATACCTGACTAACAGTAGCTGCAGGGCAGAGATGGGGTCTGGTGGATGGATGGATGCCACACCAACTTTCCTTCCTGTAGCAAGTGTTTGTCTCTTTTCTTCTCCCTGAGCTGAACCTCCAGCCTCTCTTAGAGAAACACATTCTATTTTTAGTTCAAAAGACAAGAAAGTGTCCCTTGCAGCCTGTCTGATTGCAGCCCGTCTGCCCTTGATGGACTTGGGTGGTCGTGGAGAGAAGTGATGGGACTGTCCCTTGTAAAAGCTTCCTGTACTTCAGGACTTCAGCTAAAGTAAACAAGGTGGTTGGACTGAGTGGAGCTTTCAAAACAGGCTTTCCCAGAGATTTTTTTAGGGGTTGAAAGAACATTTTTATTTTCTTTCTAAAATATTTTAAGTTTTTAAAACTCTGATTTTAAAAAATCAAATCCTTTGGGAACCACCAGAATCCCCGGAGCTAAACCCATCTTGGAGTCTTTCTGTTTAAGGGCAAGTTCTCAGGTTTCAAGGTGCGAGGTCGGTCAACTGTGACCATTAGAAACTCTTGTCTAGAGGGCTTCTCGCTGTACCCTGCAACAAAGCAAAATGCAAATCACCTGCACACTGGTCTGATGTGACCACAGCTGCCACGCCTAAGCCCCAGTTTCTCATGTTTGTCTTCCCAACGCAGCCCTGCGTTCTCATTCGAGTAAGCAAATATTACAGAGCTGGGCATGCCATTTATTCCTCTTATTACCTTCACACATTAGGGTTTTCATGTTGGGTTTTTTTAACGGGGGAATTTCACTGATTTGGGTTTGCTTTTGCTTGAGGAGGTGATTGAGACAGAGCCTCACTAGGTAGCTCAGGCTGACCACAAACTTGCTGTAGCCCAGCTGGCCTTGAATTCACGATCCCCCTGCCTCCCTCTCCTGAGTGCTGGGATTGTAGCCATGCACCTTGACACCCAGTCCTCGGTGATCATTTTAGAAGGAAAAGAAAAATAGAAACTCACTGGACAGATCTCTAAAAGCCTTTCAGCTCTTGGTTTCCCTGATTCTATCCTGAGCAGCGTGGGTCCCCAGCTCTTCTCGCTGTGTGCTGACTCTTAGGGCTGTTGTCACCCCAGCCATCCAACCCTGAGCTCTTTTGTGTAGGGGGATATGTCATCCCCCTTTAGGTCAAGGTTGAGAACTAGCCAGACTTCTCTTCTGAGCGTGTGTGTGTGTGTGTGTGTGTGTGTGTGTGTGTGTCTTACTGCAGATTGAACCCAGGGCCTTTCACACTGAGTTACATCTCCAACCCTTTTTTAATTTTTGAGGCAGAGTCTTGCTAAATTGCCCAGGCTGGGCTTGAATTTGCAATCATCCTGCCTCAGCCTCTCAGAGAGTTCTGGATTATAGGTGTCTGCCACACTGTGCCAGGCTTTTTCTGAGTCTCTTATGGACTGGCCATTCATCAATTTGCCCAAACCCTTCATGTACCCACTTATTGGTCCTGGCGGGGTCCTGACACATGGAGCCCACATTTCCACAGGTGCCTCACTGCCCCCCCCCCCTTCCCAGCTTGACTGCAGTGCGGTGTCAGTTTGCGCAGCCTCTGTGGCCTCATGGTCAGCGCCACCCCTCTGTCCTAACAGCTGGTGTGAATAATCCCATCTCTAGATCTAATTGGTGATGAAACCACCCGATTCCTAAAGGAGAGAATTCTGGGATATCGTGCAGAAAGACTACCCAGGATAGCTGGATTTGGGCTGGCAGGAAGCATCCTGCTAGAAGGAATGTCTGAGAAGGACTTATAAATAGCACATCAGTTGATGAAAATGGGCTCAAAAGCGACTGGTTCACCTAAGAGTAGGCTGTTTTTCTTTCTTTTTTTTTTTTTAAATGTATAGTTAATTAGCTTTGTGTACTTTATTCTTGGGCAGAAGCAGGGAGGCTCGTAATTTAAAAACAAACATCTTGATGAACCTTTCCTGTCATTTGGACAAAATACCCGACCCCCACAACTTAGAGGGGGAGAGGTTAATTTGGGGTCAAAGGTTCAGGCCAGGTTCCAAGGCAGAAACCGGATGAATGGGAGAGGGTCACAGCGGAGACAGCTGCTCACATCGTGGAAGCCAGGAAGCAGGGAGAGAAGGGAGGAGCCAGGGAGGGAGATGCACACTTCTAGGTCAAGACCCCCCTGACCCATGCCCTACCACCGCACACACCTCCTGAAGTCATCACCTCCCACACACGTGAGAACTTTGATCTAAACCCCAACTGGAAGCTACTGAATGTCATGTCTGTCTGATCAGTCCTATTCTCTCCTTCTAGATTGTTCTCTGGGGCCGGACTGAAAAATGCCTGAAGGAAACAACGGAGGAGATTCGGCAGATGGGCACTGAGTGCCACTACTTCATCTGCGATGTGGGCAACCGGGAGGAGGTATACCAGATGGCCAAAGCTGTCCGGGAGAAGGTCAGTGTCTTGAGAGTGTCTGCTCTTGGCACAGCAGAATACAGGGCAATGCCAGGCAAAAGGATGTGCCCACATAGCCAGAGAGAGAGCTTCATTTATAGCAGAATGGCACTGTCCAGGGCAACTTCAGGGACTCTCCCATGAAGCTGGTCCAGGTTACATGAGTAGAGGTTGGGCTGATTACACCCCAGGAGTTGTCAGCTGGGAAGTTGAGGCTCCATAGGTCTAAACTGAGAGACAAATGTCCTACTACCTATCTGGGAAAATCCTCTGTACTCTGGGCATCTACCTGACTGTGTCGGTGAACCCCAAAAGAGGAGCAACTACCCCACTAAAGTATCTGGTCATGGTGATGTCAACTATTTTTGTGTAATAATAACCTCGTTTATTCTAGATGTGCTGTGTCCCAGGTAAAGTAGGTGCCATAAATTATTTCTAATCCTCAGAACACAGCTGGTTTGGCACCACCATCATCTTATAAGCATGACTGATACTCAAACAGGTGACAGAGCTCCCCAAGGCCATGTGGCTGGGGGAGGTGGGTTCTGACCTGTGTCCCTACAGGTGCAACCCGCCAGGGCTGGCCATCCTCATGACCCCTGGCTCCCTCTTGTCCACAGGTGGGTGACATCACCATCCTAGTGAACAATGCTGCTGTGGTCCACGGAAAGAGCTTGATGGACAGTGATGATGACGCCCTCCTCAAGTCCCAGCACATCAACACCCTGGGCCAGTTCTGGGTAAGGGCCATCCTGACCCCGGGGCCAGCTCTGGGCATGAGGTGAGATGGGAACGGAGAGCAAGGCTGAGGCCAGTAGGGACATCCAAGGACAAAGTGGCCACACGAGAGGAATGACCAGCCCTAGGAGCCACTGGCTTTCTGATCTACGAGCTCAGTGTCTGCAGCCAGGGGCCCTCGGCCCCGTGCTTCAGAAAAGCACAGTCACTAGTATAGGGGGCAGGCTGCTCTCCCCAGGACGGGGTGAAGGGGTTGGTGCAAGTTGCATCTGCTCCACACTGACCCTCTGTGCACCCTCAGACCACCAAGGCCTTCTTGCCTCGAATGCTGGAGCTGCAGAATGGCCACATTGTGTGCCTCAACTCTGTGCTGGCACTGTCTGCCATCCCTGGAGCCATCGACTACTGCACTTCCAAAGCATCAGCCTTCGCCTTCATGGAGAGCCTGACCCTGGGGCTGCTGGACTGTCCAGGTGTCAGTGCCACCACTGTTCTGCCCTTCCACACCAGCACAGAGATGTTCCAGGGCATGAGGGTCAGGTCAGTGCTGGGGAACAGCCTCCTCTCTGGAGACAATGCAAGCCAGAGGGGCTATGGAGAAAGCTACACCATAGATATACCCCGAAGCCTTGGCCTTGCGCTCTGGTGTCTAATTCTCCATCTGCAAGGCAGTGGGATACCACAACAGGTCAGGGTCCCGCTTCTCAGTTCAGGGAGCTTGTACAAAGCAGTGGTGCAGAGTACGTGCCATGTACGTGTCATGGAATACTACCCAGTGATAAAAAGAACACAGAGTATCAATACGTGAGCACCACTGTGAAGGTCACAAGCATGATGCTGAGTGAAAGAAGCCAAAAGAGCACATCCAGTGTGATTGCCCTTGTGTGAAGTTCTAAACTGGGGAAAACTAGGCTATAGTGCTAGAAACCAGACCAGTAGCTGCCCCTGGCAGGGCTGAAGACAGAGTCTGGGAGGGAAACAGAGAGAACATCCCTCTTTGGGATCTGGGTGGTGATTAAATAGGTAAAAGTTAAAATTAAAAACTACTGTAATAATATAGCGATACTATTGTTATAGAGCTGGGAGTGTAGAGCACTTGCCTAGCATGTTGGAGGCCCAGTGTTCAATCTAAAGTACTAGAAAAAAAAGGTAAAAGTTATCCAAGTTGTGTGCTCAAGATGTGTGCCTTTACAGGATACAAATATAGTTCAGTGCAAAGAAACAGCCCCAAGCCCTTTCTCCCCAGAACAATCCCAACAGAGGGAGCTGGACCACTGGCTTAGAATTCAGTCTCAGGAGCCCAGTGGTGGCTCCCCATAGCTGTGATGTACTGATTGGCCTTGGGTTTCATTGGTTACCATTCTAGGCTTCATTGCTGGTAAAATGGGCTGCTGGCTGACAGCATGGGTGGTGAGGATAAAATGGCATCAGTGCAGAGAATCACATGTTCTACACATTAAGGTCCAACGAATGGCACTCTCGTGATGTGCACAGGAGCACAAGGGTCTAGAGAAATAGAAACCAGGGATTCTCCAAAAACTATTTTCCCCCTGTTTCTTGCTATGTAGCATGTGATGATCTGCCTTCTGAATTAGATGCTTCCACTGCTGCCAAAAATGTGGGTAACATGGAAGGGACATCATGAGAACTCAATGAGACAGCTTAGCCTAGCACAGGGCACTCAGGCACTGGTTGTTATCAATAGGGACAGTGTGGTTTGAGTAGCCAACAGTCAAAAATACCTGGCTTTGCATCATTCCCCAGCTATTCTGTTTGTGAAGCTTTGGGCTTGCTTTATGACCTCTCTAAGCTTCACTTTGCTCTTCTGTAAAATGGTGGAAATATTTACCTCATAGGATTACTAGAAGAACTGGAAATAACACAGATAATGCATCAGGTACAACTCCCCAGGACATGCTAGACAAACTCAATAAAAAGCTGGTGCCTTTGTTATTTTTACTAAGAAGGAGCATCTTCATATAATAGAAACATCTTAGCATAAGTGCTATTACTGTTCCTTGACAGATTTTTTTTTTCCTTCTCGAAGACTTGGTTTGGTTTCTTTTCAACTGAGTGTACTAGAAATGCTCAATAATTTCATGTTGGCAGTGGTGATCTGCAGTTTTAATTGGGTGCCCCAGGGACAGAACAGGCAGGACATTCACACCCATTACATTTCTGTATCTGTTTCATCTTCTAGCATCTTCTCTCTCCATCATGTTAAGAAGGAAACTCAAGGTTTCCCTAAGTCATTTTCCTTAGTGATTCAGAGTGTGGACCTACAAGGCCTGCATTCAAATCCCAGCGCTACATGACTTAAGACAAATTACTTGAGTTTTCTCTGCCTCAGTTCCCTCATCTGTGTAATTGGAATCATAACACTACTCCTTATTTCAAGGGTTAGATGAGCTCCTATGTGGCAATCCACTAGTGATGCCTGTCAGGTGTGTGCACTAGGTGAACGTTAGTTACGTGCAAGTGCGGAAGTGAGTCTTGGGGCATTGGCTGGAAGAGAGGTGCAAGGAAGACCTGTGCTTAGCTGGTGCCTACTGCAAGAAAAGAAAAAAGAAAGGAAGGATGGAAAGAAGGAGAGAGAGGGGAGAAAAGAGAGAGAAGGAGGGGAAGGGAAGAGGAGAGAGGGAGGGAGAGAGAGAGAGAAGAGGAAGAAGAAAAACAGGAGGAGGAAGACGAAGAAGAATAGAAGTAAGGGAGGGAGGGAAGAAAGACTGGTTTCCTACTGTCACTAAGCTTAGCAGCTTCCCAGGATTGAAGGTGAGGAACAAGTTTAAGTCAAAATCGATGGGTTTCCCTGCAAGACTGGCATGTTAGTGGATGCTGTTGTTTGTAAATCATTATTTTTTTTTAAGGAGAAAAAGTTTATTTTGGCTCACAGTTTGTAGGAGTTTCAGTCCATAGTTGGGTGGCTCCAGAGCAGGGCAGCATAGCAGAGGGGCATAGTAGAGGAGAAACAGTCCACAGCATGGCAGGCAGGAGGCAGCAAAAAAGCAGCAGCAAGCCTCCCTTTCCCTTTTATTCTATCCAACCTACAAGCCTATTGGTACAAGGCCTCAGAGTGGGCCTTCCCATTATTCATACCCAGAGTATAAATCACTATTTATTGATTTATTCTATATTCCAGCCTCCCCCTCCCCCCGTATACTTACTCCCTCATAGCAACCCCAAGACAGCTCTTATCCCCATTTTATAGGCAAGGGAACTGAGGCTGAGAAACTAGTTACAGCTAGAAGCTGACTAGCCAAACAGACTTTTTCTAGGAATTTGTGTGGCCTCCATGGGAGTTCAGAGCTCTGCCAGTGCCCCAGACAACCATCCCACCCACCACGAAGAGAAAGGAGAAAATCCCACCAGCAGGCAGGCTTGAGGCTGCTTTGCGGTTCTCCTGCAGGGTCTTACCAGCGGGTCCCCTCAAGCCCACAGAGCTTGGCCCTTTTGCCCTTCATCCTCTTCCCCAAGAGGTGGAACAGGCAGCAGGGGGAGGCGGAGAGTCCACACCAGCCACAGGGTCTACCAGGCCCATAATCAGTTCCCACTCATCACACACGTTCACCAGCACTGATCTCTATGGAACCCGGAGGGTGTCCTTCTGGACTGCAGACCTCTTAGTGGCACCGTTGTAACCTGAAAAAGAAACCCAGGGCAGGGGTGAGACTGTGGAGCCCAAGAGCGACTCAGGAGTGACATCAGACCCAGTGACTCAGTACCCTTAATCTTCCCCGTGCAGGGCCAGATCACACAGCCTTTGTGCGGCTGAGGTCAGAGCCAGAGGCACTGGCTTTGCACCTACGGCCCGGGGAGGGCAGCAGGAGCAGGCCAGGAAGAGACTAGGGCAGGGGCCTGGCACTCTTGCAGACCTGGGTTGCCCGCGCATCAGCTGAGCCTCCATCTCCTTATCTGTCAGTCAGAGAGAATGATTCATGCACAGGCCTGACACTTAAGAAACAGCATCGTTGCCAGCCTGGGGTGAGAGACATCTGCATAGGCATGGGAAGCCCCTGATGTTTGCTTATGCAATCATCCATTCATTTAGAAATTCATGGAAAGCACTCTGCAAATATTTGAATGAATCAGTGAATCGATCATTGCCTGAGGAACCTGGCCTCCAGATAGGACAAACAAGACACTCTTGGGGAACAACAAGTAGATCGATGTTCATCCTTTCAGCAAGTATTTATTGAGCACCTACTACACGCTGGACACTGTGCTAGAGGCTGAGGATAGGATACAATGGGCAGCAGAACTGACCGGGCTGCTGCCCTCGGAGAACTCACAGTCTGATGGAGGACACAGGCCATTAACAAAGAAACAAGCAAGACCATTCCAGATGTGATAAATGCAGTAAAGCAATTAGCAGGGAGATCAGAGGCCACTGGGGTGACGGTGACTGGGCTGAGAGGCCTCCTGGAGGAGGAGCTGGCAAGAGTGAGCCTGGCTGTTGGGACTGGAGAAAGGCCCTGACAGAGTGTAAGGTGACAAGGATAGAGGGCTGCTGCTCCTGCTGGAGCAGAGTGAACTGGGAAAAGGCTCAGGACACCCAGCCTGTGCAGGACTGTGGAGCATGAGGGAGGAGCCCGGGGTGCCAGGAGCCCGCCCAGCTCCGGAGATAGGGTCCCAGGTGCAAGGTGAGACGTGCGGTTCCCGGGGCACAGCCTTGTGAGCCGGGGCCTCTGCTGGCAGGCACTGTGGGCTGGAGCAGTGAAGAAAGTCTGGGCTTCCACAGGCCCAAGTCCCTCCTGCGGGGGAGCCCAAAGGGGGCCCCAGTCGTGGCAGCCACGTGGCAGCTTCCACCAGAAGTGCTTGCTCCTCCGGGAGAAATCACTGTCTCTTCCTGCCTTCAGGTTCCCCAACCTCTTTCCCCCACTGAAGCCTGAAACGGTGGCCCGGAGGACAGTGGAGGCCGTGCAGCTCAATCAGGCCCTCCTCCTGCTCCCGTGGACCATGCACATCCTCATTATCTTGAAAAGGTATGGGGCCGGGGGAGGAAGCAGAGGGGCAGGCTCGTGGCGAGCACCTCCCCTGCCCCCTCAGGAAGCAGAGGCCACCCCTCCCGATCCCTGCAGGGAACCCCTCCTCACCTTCCCCAAGAGAAATTCTCAAACACGCAACTCTAGGGCCACCACCCCCAGGAAGCCTTCCAGATTGCTCTGCCTAGAAGTGAGCCTTTCCCGCCTTGCACCTAGAGTGGGCCGGGGTCTCCAGTTTGATTCAACAGACAGACCGGGGGCCTCTCTGTACCATGCCTGTACGGGGCCAGGGATCAGAGATGAGATATCTGCCACAGAGGCACCTGTGTGACAGATGGGCGGGTGAAGGTGACCCCAGGTCTTCCTGGGAAAGCCCAGGAGATCTGGGTCACACCCAAGAGAGGCCTGTGGGACACTGCCCAGAGGATGTGACACCCAAACTGTACCTGACTCCTCGGTCCCACACAGGAAGTCTTTGTTGAAGAAGCGAAGGTTGGAGTTGATCGAGCTCCAAGTGAGATGTGGCCCTGAGCTGCTGTCTTAGTCTTTCCCGTTGCTATAATTGAGTACCACAGATTAGGTCCTTATGAAGAACATAGGTTTATTTGGCTCAGGCTCTGGCGGATGGGCCGTCCAAGAGCAGGCAGCACATCTGCTTAACATCTGCCAAACAGGGCATGGATAATCGGGAACTTGGTGTGTAGCTCAGCGAGAGAGGAGAGGGGCCATCAGTCTACTGCCCTGTGCCGTGTGGCCCAGGACTAGTGACCCAGCCACCGTCCCCTGCCATACTGACGGTCCTCTTTTCTCTCCCCACCACCCCAGCATACTCCCACAGGCTGCACTGGAGGAGATTCACAGATTCTCAGGAACCTATACCTGCATGAACACTTTCAAAGGACGGACATAGAGGCAGGAGGCAGAGACACGCTCAAGGAGCCACGGAGCCTGAGGAGCCCACAGCGCCCTGGTACACACCCATGCCTGTCTGTTGGCACATTCCTGCTCGGTGAGCGGGTCTGCTGCTGATCCAGGCAAAGACTCTCAGCCCCTCAGGTCAGCCCCAGGACCTTTGCACAGGAATGATGGGTACAACTCTGACCTCCATGGGGAGGCAAGAAACCAGCCAGCAGCCACCTTGACACTTTTGTACATTTCTAATTCTGTAGAGTTTATTATCACATTGCTTCTCAAATCTAACCAGCCTCAGCCGTGTGCATAGACTATTTCCAGGAGAGTCTGTCTCCAGACGCTCTGCCTTCCCCTCCAGAGCCCACTCATCTTCAGCTTGAGCAAACTGGTTGAACGGCAGGAATGAAAAATAAAGAGAGATGGCTTTTGCAAGCTCCTTGGTTCAAATCCTTGATGGGAAGTTGGAGGGGGGCCAGTCCTAAGCACAAAATCCCCATCCCTTGGGAGAAAATCGGTCCACTCAGGGTCCCCAGCTGTGAGGAAGAGAGAGGGGACAGAGATCTGGGGAGAACTTGGAGCCCAGGTCTGAGGTCGGAGAGCGGCCCCTGACTCCTGACCCACCGGGTCAGGCTCTCCCAGCACCACGTGGTTTCTCTGGCCTAACCATCCAGCACTGGTCTGCAGGCAGCTAGCCACCAACTTGGGATGGCAGAGCCAGTCTTTATTGAGCACCTGCTGTGTACCTAGCATCTGCTTGGTGCTAGAGGACAGCACTGCAGAAAAGCTGAAGTCCTGAAGATGCCAGTACAAGGTGCCAATAGGCCCATCGAGAAAGGGTCGTGAAACACAGGAAACGGTTGAAGACTACACAGGAAGTCCAGTGTGATAGGATGCCGCAGGCCCCTCCCCACATTTAACTGCAGGACAAGGGAGGTCTGGAGTGGCAGAAGGAATTGGCGAAGGCTTGGCCCAGAAGATGGCAGAGATGCCCGTGGTCCTCTGTGAGGTCCTCCCTGCTGTCCTGGGCTTTATAAACCCACCAGTGGGGACAGGCAGAGGCTAGCAGGGCCCTGCCACGCCAGCAGGCTCCCCACGCAGCTCCTGCAGGTGGGTGGTAGGAGTACCCCAGACAGGAGAAGGTCACGGGCCTCTGACTCAGTGGAGGAGCTGCCTCAGGGTTGCATAAGCCTGCAGTGACACACAAACCTTGGCTTGAACCCTCCCACCTCCCAAGCTCAGACCCCCAACCCTGGGCACACGTCAGTCTGGTCTGCGTGTAGAAAAGCCAACCCGTGATCTTATCCACTGTTTATTGAGCACCTACAGCATGGCTGCCAGTCCCGTGTGGTCTTCACTCTGGGACGCAGATTGACCCAATAGCCTCTATCTAGGACCAAGTCGTAGGGCTCAGGTAGACACCTAGTGAACGTTCAGGGCTTCTTCAAGTTTCTGCCCGGAAACAACATACGTCACTCGGCTCACATTTCATTGGCCGACGCAGGTCAGGTGACCAAGCCTGCCTTTGAAGCTGCAGAAAATACAATACCCCGAGCGGGGCGCTTAGCTGTTTTGAACGTGCCCCGGGGAAAGGTGTCAGGAGGAAAGGTTAAAATTTAACCCGAGGATGGAAGGAAGCAGATGCAGGGACTCAGTGGCTTTCGGAAGCACAAGCAGATGCTGAGCAGAGTCCCGAAGGGGTGCTGTCTGCACACGCATCACAGCGCCTTTCGGGGAGGGAATTACCAAGCCTCGTTCATAGCTGAGAAGCGTACAAGACGACGAAGGCTTGCCACGTCTGGACTTTTTCTTCCTCGTTACTGGGAATGGAATCCTGGGGCTGTATCCCTGAGTTACATCCCTACCCCTTTTAATATTTTGAGACAAGGTCTCGCTGTATAGCCCAGGCTGACCTGGAACTTGGAATCCTCCTGCCTCTGCCTGCCAAGTAGCTGAGATTACAGATCTGTGCCACTGCTCCGGTCCAATGTGGAATTTGAACTCATCTCTACTTGACTTATAGGCCCCTCATTTAATGGCGCCACAAGACCCTGGCAAATGACAAGCTGCCAAGCCTAGACCCTCCTGTCACCTTCCTTTGGGTCTTGAGGACATATGTCGCCAAAGTATATGGGGAGGAGGGTTGCCAAAGGGTCTTCTGGGATTGTCCCTGCCTAGCCCTTACTCCCTACCCACCCACCCCCACACACAAGTCCAGTTATGGAGAGTGGGTCCCTAGAGCAGGTGGCCTGTCCTCAGCTCTCCCAGGACACAACAAGGGGTGGCCACAGACAGACAGGGAAGATCAGACAGGGGTCATGTCTGCTGAGCCCCTATTTTTCTGACCATCCTTAACAGCCGATGGATTTCTGTACTCAAGATCTGGCTCCAGGCCGAACTTTTGGAGAGGATTTGACTTCTGAGGTTTCCCTGAAATTGCATTTGGCCTGCGGAGCAAGACCGCAGTGGGGGTCCCTGGGGAGACCTCCTGGGGGGGGCCTCTGAGTGCAAATCACCCCCTTGGCTGCAGTGGAATCTCACAGGTTCCCAGAGCCCCGGGGGGCTTCTCTTGATGGCCCAGCAGGGCCTGATCCCACCCGTATGTGCCAAGACCTTTCAGGCTGTTTCTGGATGTTTTCCCAGAGGAACCAGGGGAAAAAGCCTTGGGCAGATTCCCAGGAGGCCGAATTCTGGTCCCTCCCTGGGATGGTTTGGCTGCTTGGAGAGCCCCAAGAGTGAGAGTAGAGAGCTAATTTTGTCCCTACACTTGGCCAAGCGAAGGAGAGTGACAAGCACCAAAACCTTGAGGGACAAGACAGGGCATGCCAACCCTACAAAGAAGTCTGGGTCCTGGGAAATGACCCAGTTGCCATGCTTGAGGTTATTCCAGGCCCCAGAGAGAACCACATTGGGGTGGGCACTGAGCCCGGGGCGGTGCCAGACCCAAGCCCCATCCTGGCCCCTTTCCAGGGGACCAGGCTATCTGGCCTGGCACAGGGTCAAGAATCGAGTCCTGTGCCCACCACCCCACCCCTAGGGCCAGGATGCTTTGAGAAGCTGGCTCTCTTTTTCTCCTGCCAGCCCTCAGCCCTAGGCCCCCACCTGTCCCCAACCCAGAGCCCCAACTGATGGGGAGGCAGTCTTTGCCCTTGGGGACCTTCCAGTGTAATGGGGGACAAAACGAGAAGCCAAGTCACCTGAGTCCCGAGCAGCAGGGACTGACCAACTCTGGGTTCATCATCTAAGGAGCTGGAGACCCACCCTCCCAGCATCTGGGATGCGGTAACAGCCCAGAGGTCTGTGTTGATGAGGAGGGTCTACTGTACCCCTAGCTTCAGCCAAGGCCAGGAGGTGATAGATGTCCCCGACGGGAGGAAGGAAGGGCTGGAGTTTACAAACATTCCTTAACGGGCATCTGCTTAAACTGAGGGCTGCCCACTGAGAGCCAGAGTCCTTTCTCCTGTGCCCCAAAGCCTCTGCCTCCTGTGTGTCCTGGTCCAGACACCGTACCCTGCCACTTCTCACAGCCCTCTGAGGCCCGGGTCCCCAAACCCCCAGTGCTCAGATGCCCATTCCAGTGCCCAGGCTCTCGTAGGCCTACCCTCAGGCCCGGAGGTTCCCCAAGAGGCAGGAAGTCCTGGGATCTGGGGAAGGAATCCAGATTCGGGTCCCACTGGCTGGGCTCCCGTCGGGGCTGTGCCCTCTGCGTGATGTCACCGCTCCTCGCTTGCAGAGCAGGTGATGTTCGTGCTCTCCTGCCTGCAGCATAAATCCGGCCTGAGAGGCTGTGTGCACCCAAGGGGATGGCATGACGCTGGTGCCCTCCACAGCTCCCAGCAAGAACCAACAGCTGCCAGGTCTCCTGTGTCACTGTGGTGACCTGGCCTGTGGCGGCAGCACCTCCAGGCATGGGGCTCCCTGGTGATTGTAGCAGGTGGGATGTAGCTGAGCTCAGAAGACCCCGCATGGGGGTAGGGGGGAGTGGTCAGAGGGGTGGGCCCCAGGGAGGGCAGAGCCAAGGGCTCCCCAGCAGGATGGAAGGAGCTTCTGGGGAACGAAGCTTACTGTGCCGCTGCCCTCCAGTGCAGAGCACAGTGCCCATGTGGCAGGACATTTCTGGCATCTCCCACCATGGTTGGCCCTGTACCATCCCTGGTACTGCGATCTCTCTGTGGCTTGGGAAACACAAAATTCCCCGGAAGGCAGTGCTGGGACAGTCAGCATCACCCTTCTGGGAAGCTCTGGAAACAGGTGGAACCCCAGGACGGACTGGGGGGCAGATCCTGGAGCAGGGCACAGAGACCCCCTCTCAGACCAGCTGGCAGAGGACACTGGTACAGGGTGGCCGGCCAGTGCGCAGCTGTGTGACCCTGGGGTGCTAGAGGTCACAGCTTCTCCGGATTGAATTACTAGGAGCTCCTTGGCACCCTCCCCTCTGCCCGCGCTTCCCTGGGGGTTTGAAGACACTCCTAAAAGGAATAACAGAAAAAGTTTCTGCAAATCAACTTACCCTGCATGTGGAAGCCAGACAATCTGCCCAAGCATTGAGTGGCAGGGAGGAAATACTTCTCAGGGTCCTGAGCATAGAGGCCAGGTCCCTAAGGTCACTGCCCAGTCAGCCCTCTGCACCTTTCTCTGCAGCTCCCACTCCACGGTGCATGCAGCTGATCCCTTGTAGGACCACACATCGGGCTCATGCCCTGGGGACTCTGCACATCATGTTGTCCCCTGCACCAGAACTTAGTCTCTGTCTCTTCCTTAGATGTCACCTGCCATCTGTATCCCCCCTGAGCACAATGGCCCTGCTGGTTGCTTATTTCATTCATCAGTATAGCCATTCATCAGTATTATTGTTATTTATAATGGCTTTATTAAGCTTTCATTCATGTAGCTCCCAGTTCACACATTAAAGCGTGCAGTCCCATGGCATGCAGTATATTATTGAGCTGGGCAGCCAGCACTACCATTCTCATTGGCCCAGAAGGAAATTCTATAGCCACTAGCGGTCTCTCTGCCTTTTTCCTCAACTCTTTCAGCTCAGGGAACCACCAGCTACTTTCAGTCTGAGGATCTGCCTGCTCTTTTGGTAACAATGCAGTCACACAGCGATGGCTTCTCCCACTCAGCATAATGTCAAGACTCCTCTGTGTCCAAACCTCACTCCTTTTGAATCACCATCCTCCGTTCATCACTCTTGGTGGATATTTGGAACCAGTATTCTTTAAGTGCTTGCTTCGTCTGCTGGCTGTCTCTCCTTCTGGACCAAACACTTCCTGAGGGCAGGGGTTGTGAACATTGTCTGAAGGAGGACAGCAGATCTGTCTCCAGGGGCAGCTGGCATGCAAGCTCTGCCTTCTTCCTGGGCCACCCTGTTCTCCTGTCCCCCTTCCCACATGCGCGCCAATGGAACAGTAAAACCAACATCAGCATGTGAACTAAACATTTGAGACTCTACACCAGCACTTGCTCAGCCACAGCACCCTGGGTCTTTGGAGAGGGCCATTCTTTGGCAGGGTGTCCTGGGCACTGTGTGGTGTGTGGCAGTGTCCTCGGTCTTCACTCACCAGTTGCTTTTCCCAGTGTGACAACTAAAAAAGTTTCCAGACGTTGCCATATGTCCCCAAGGGTGTTAATCCCCCCAGCAGAACCACTGTCTACACACAGTTTCTCATTTCTTTGTAACAACCCAGAGCCTGGGAGTTGGCATTACTGATGCAGAGTAGCCAAGGAAGCTGAGCCCTGGAGAGATTTCGTGGTCTGTCCACAGGAGCCTGGTGGCAGTACTGGGTTATGGGACTTCCGCCCCAGGCCTGGGGCCTCTGTGCCTTCTAAAGAGAACCTAGGAATCCAGGAGACCTCACAGGGCTCAGGCCTTCGTGTTGGGTTTCTCTGCCTTTGGATTTGGTTGGAAAACTCCCCCTTGCTTTCCTCTGGATGAGTTACCCAAGTTCTGCAGAATTTTCCAGGGCACCCCCCCATCAAATCCTTATCATTCCTTTCATTTTTCAATGCTCACAAGACAAAGGAAATAAGCCCTTGGAGGAAGACACAAGCTGTGTTTGTTCCTTGGGGCCACTGCTGCGATGTAACTGGATCCCGCTTGCCTGGGAAGGTCACATGGTTGTGGGCACGTGAACTTCTACAGCCCTGGCATGCTGAGTATAAGACCAGGCTAACCCACCCCAGTTGCCCGATGGAGTCCTCGTGGCTGGGGTGGATGGGCGGGCGGGGTTCCAGCCCAACCCACCCTCCTCAGCCGTGCCCAGCTGAACTCGCTTCCGGTCCACACTGGCTGGGGAGCTGAGAGAAGCCAATCTGGCCAGTGCAGCACAAAGAGAATGACGTTTGGAGCCAGTCACATCCGGCTGAGATTCCCAGTCCTGACTCCATGGGAACTTGAGCTTAACCTTAACCTGGACTTAGCCTCCCTGGGCCTCAGTTTCCTCATCTGTAGGATGTGACCGAGAGTTCTTCTCTCTATACAGAGTTGCTTGTGAAAATCGGGGGTGTAATACACATAATAAATTAATGTATGTGTGCTTGGTACCAATAAATACCAAGTCATAAATTTATATTTGTTATAATAAAATCAGAAATCACTCTGTCCTTGCTAAGTTATATGCATTTAGTGCTGAAAATCTCCCAACATTTTATGGGAAGCAGAGCCAGAGACAGATATAGGAGCCTTCCCAGGGCCCTGTTCACAGCTGGTAACTGGTAGAGCTGGGATTTGAACCTTAGAGTCCAGTGGCACAACCCCGGGCTTTAATGCCTGGGTTTGTGGCTTCTGAGGTCTGCTATATAAAGAGAATGGATTCAATTCTTGCCACAATTCATCAACATTGTAGCCAGCTCCCGCCAGGCCTTTTCCCGGTGGCTTCGTGTCAATGTCGCTGCTGGGTTCCACCACCCCTGGTGGATCAAGGTGGTCGATGTCAGGTGGACTCTGGAGGCCTCTCTGTGATGAAACAAGCATCTTGTTCAAGAGCCAGGAGCTTGCTGGGGTCAGCCTTACCTCCTAGCTGTGGCCCTGGGAGGAGCAGTCTCTGGCCTCAGACTCCTGGGGCTGGACACAAAGCCAGTGCCTTTGGGCAGACTGCTCTCCCTTCCCGATTCCCAGAGTCCCTAAAATATGCCAGCACTCTGCCTGGTGTGTCAAGGAAGCTGCATTTGCAGAATGCCCACTCCGAGTGGAAGTTTGCCAGCCCAAACCCAGCTGCCCATATCCCCAGCCTGGAGCCAGGGGCAGCTCCCCCAGGCAAAGGGCACAAAGGCTTGGGTTTCTTTGTCCCAGGCCTCAGCAGCAGACACCGCCTCTCTCTGCAGCAGGATAGAGGGAACCCAAACCAGACCCGAGAACTAGGCAGACACTAGAGAGGCAGCCAGACCACAGCCTCCAAGTCTGGCCACAGGGCGGCTGGTGAGGCACAGAGGCCGTGGAAGCTGCAGTTGCCACTGGACTCGGGGAACCTCGCTGGTGGCCTCAGATACTCTTTCCTGCCACCACCCTATGGAGGTGAATCCACTTGTCTGCTCTGCTTGTCCAAGGCTGGGAGTGTTGCATTCACAGGCACACTCAGCAGCCAGGGCAGGGGCAGCAAAGATGGGGCCAGCCTGTCCAGCCCTGTCCCTTCCATGTTCCTCAGAAACACTCCTAGCCTCAGACCAGAGTTGGCCCCCAGCCCTGGGCGATCACTGCTCCTACTCACAGTCAGTCTTGCTTGGCCCAGAGGGGGAAGTTTATTGACTCACACTGCAAAGCCCAGTGGTAACTTGTCTCAGGTATAACTGGATCCATGGTACAACGCAGATCTCCATCCCCTGGCCAGGAGTTTTCTCTTTCTCCGCCCTTCATTTGCACATCTTCGGTGCTGCCTTCCTTCTGACATCTTGCTCTTTAGGAGGCAAGCAGGCTGCCAAAGACAGAATCTCTGGTCACCCAGAGCTAGTTCTGATTGGTGAAAGCTGGCTTGGGTGAATCAAGTGTCGAAGAGCAACAGAGTGAGGGACACTCCTGGGGGCAGTGCTATTTTAGACCAACGAGAAACTTGTTATTTCCAATCTTTCATTTGAATCTGGAGCTGTTCACAGGGCCAATCAGAAGATGCTCTTTTCAATCCTTCATTTGCATATTGGAACAACCAATCAAAAGACACTATTTCTGGCCCTTCATTTACATATAACAGAAAGCCAAATGAATTTTTTTAATAACAGCTTACACATGGTGTGAAGCCCAGTGGTGTTTGATAGGATGATTTTCCCAATGTCTTATTTGCATGAAAGAGAGGGGACCCAGGAACTTTGAATAAAAAGACCCCTTTCCCTTATCCTTGGGGCCACCTTGAGCCTTTTCACCAGCTGGCTGTCACTCTGCAGAGCAAATTTCTTTCTTGCCTTCAATAATCACTGCCTTTTCTATGTATCTTGCCCAGTTCTTCACTTGGGACACTAAGAACCTAGGAAAAGCCCCACGGGCCCCTCCATCTGGTAACTTGCCCACATACAAACCAATCACAGTGGCCAGAGGAACCAGAGCTTTGATGGCCAAGCCTGGACTGTCACTGCAGCAGGGAGGGAATCCTCCTGATTAACCTACAGACCAAGAGCTGGGGGGGGGGGGAGAATCAGACCAAAGGGGCCCCCAGAAGTCCAGTGGGGCACCCTTGACAGAGAAGGGTGAAGGGATGCTGGGTGGCAGACACAGCTGCCACCAGAATGACCCTGAGTGGACCCCCTGCCTTGCCACTGGGCTTTCTGAGCGACAGTTGGCCAGTGCCCTGACAGGCAGTGTGAGCTCCCAGGACTTGTCCTCTGCTGACGGACACTTGGCTAGGGTGCTGACAGGCAATGGCAGCCCTGCTCCTGACCACTCGCCCCTCCTGACTGGCAGTCACCAGGCACCCTGGTGGGCAGTTGGCAGCATGGCGCTTGGCAGTGACCCGTCCTCTCTGGCAGTCCATCATGGCCTGCCCTGAGGCGGCGGGGGGGTGGGGGGGACGACACACGTGCCAGGCTGCCACCATCTGGCCCTGCCTCTGTCCCTCCTGGAAGGAATGCAAGTAGCCTGCCCACCTCTCCCCAGCTGTGGAGAGAAAGTGGTGGCCCAGGAGGCCAAGCTGGTCCTAAAAGCCTTTTGTCTTTGTGTGGTGTCAGGAAACCCTGCTCAGCAGGAGCCTGAGGCCTTCTGGACCCTGCAGTGTCCTCTAGGAGCCAGAGACCAGGGGCACTGGGGTAGAGGAATTCAGGAACTATTAGCATGGGTGCCTGGTTTGCTGGGCTCATTTGGTGTCACTGACATAGATAGGCAGGGATTTGTCCCCACCGAGTCTTCTGTCCTTGAGGGGGAGGTACCACCTCCTGAAATGCTAGCCAGAGGGCTGAGGACCAGGCGGGGTTCCCAGGGTTCCCAGAGAGGGCAGAACAGCTGGAGTGAGGGCTGGGCCATGGGGAGCCCTGAACACCAAGTCTTAGGGGTCAGTGGTCCCCGGGAGGGAGGCAAGAGGTCTTAGGGCCAACCTGAGCCATCATCAGAAGCACACATTAGAAAATTAATTCCTGATTTAGAGACTGATGGCCAGAAAATGTTTAGTATCCAGGTAGAAGCAGGTGGCCAGGAACAGGGGGCGGCAGGGCTGAGAGGTGGCCCAAGGGACAGGCCCCGAGGGCAGCACAGGGCCGTGAGGAAAGCAGGTCAAAGCAAGGCAGCTCCTAAGGAAAGAAGGGGGGTCCCCACAGCTGGTGGCTGAGGGTGGGGTGTGGGCCCAAGGTCAGGGCCAGAGCAGGGGGAGTGGCGGGTCGTCTACCCACCTCGGGGACTGGGCAGGAGGCCGGGGTCTGTGTGCACCTTGAAGGGAGCTGCAAGCCTGGCCTTGGGCAGCGCAGCTGAGGCTGAGCCCACTGGTGCCTCTCTGTGGTGCTGTGACGCTGCAACACATCCGGGTTCCCGCCCCTCGGCCCTCTTTGTGTCTCCTGGACAGCAGGCCCTGGGGCCACAGCTGCAAGAAGCAGAGCTCGAGATTCAGAGACTCAGCTCAGAAGAGCAGAGCGAGTTTGCCTGTCCCAAACCCCACAGCCGCTGAGAGGGCCCCCGCTGTGCCCCCCCTCCCTTCTGTGCCCTGGCTCTCCTCACCACCTGCTCCCACCCCCTGGTTGCACCACCAGCCGCCCTCTGTCTTCCCTTCCGTCTTCCAGGGCTCCCACCACCCCACGCCCTCCACGAAGGCCTCTGCCTCACCTGGACTTCAGGATAATCTCTGAGGCGGTGTCCTGCCCTCCGAGGCCCCACTACACAGCCAGGAACTCTTCCCAGATCACAGACCTGAACGTGCCACACCCAGCTTAGAGCCTGCAGTGGCTCTCTGCTGCCTGCAGAATAAAATTTAGTACTCCTCACCAGGGCCTGGGCAGCTCCTTCTGGCCTGGTCCAGCCAATGAAGGCTCCAGAGATTTTGCTGAATGATTCTCCGGAATGGAAGAAACAACCATCTCCCTGGACAAGTATGAAAAGAAACCTTTTATTCTCATCAGCAAATGGAGAGATGGAGTCCTTCCTTCAAAAAGAAGAATGGGAGCCTGCAGGGGTAGCCTCAAAATGTCTATTGCCCTGTCATCCGTGTGTGCTGGGAAAACCAGAAGCCATGCACATTTCTATCAACTGTAGTATGGATCGATTATGGTAAACATGCATACACTGAAACACTATACAGCACTGAAAATGAAGGGATTTTTCCCCCCCTTGTGCAACAACATGGAGAAATCTTCAAACACTACACTGAGCAAAGGAGCCAGGCACAAAAAGGCACAATAGCTCTGTGGAGAGAGAGGTAACCCTAGTGATTATCTTTGGGGCCGATGTGGCTGGGGACAGGGAGGGAATCTTTCTTTTGTTTTGTTTTTGGATACGAAGGATTGAACCTAGGGCCTTTATACTAAGCAACATGCCCAGCCCTTATTATTCTTTTTATTTTGAGACAGAGTTTCTTAAAGTCACCCTGTTCCCTAGGCTGGACTCAAACTTTCAGTCTCCTGCTTCAGTCCCCAGAGTTCTGGGATTATAGGAGTGTGCACCAGTCTTTAGAGGCTGGAAACATTCAGTGCTGGAATCCTGGGTGCTACACAGGCGTCTACACATGCGACACTGACTACACTGTGCCCTTGGGCCTGTCTGTCTGTCCTACCTCACTGCAAAAGGAAGCAAGGGAAACAACCGTGTCCATCCGAAGGAGGACTATTGTGCAGCTGTGAGCACGAACACTTGAAGGCCTCTGACCTAGGACTGCCACAGGCTGCGTTGCTAGCCGAAAAGAGCAGAGGGATACACACGCCAGGTCCCTGTCATTGTCAAAACAAGCCATTCCCAGTCTACACAGGAGCCCAAGTGCCCCTTGTTTTTGTGAATTTTAAAATTTGGAGACAGTAGAGGAAGGTCCTGTGGAATAAGCAGGGGTGAGCGCCGGCCCAGGACAGGGTGACTCATCCTTTATGCGTCTTCGTGTTTCCCTGGTTGCTGGGGACACGTGTGACTTTTAGGGTTGCCCAAAGGGTTTCAGTGAAAGCCTAAAAAATGAGACGAGGTAAGTGAGTTCGGTCACACAGAGCGCCGGCTTCAGGGTCAAAGTGCCCTGGGTTGCCCTGTCACCAACAGCTTGGAGGCTGAAGGAGGGAGACTCAGTCCCCAGCCAGCCTCCTCCACCATGATAGGAAGTCACATGTGCCAGGGACTTGAGCAGCCTGCAGTACAGCGGTCGGTCACTGATGCCCGCGCCATCAGAAAAAGGACGACAGTGCTGAGGAGGAGTCCACAGAGCCAACCTGAGCGGTCAAGGATGGGTGGACGCCCCTGAGGCCATCCCGGGGCCAGAGGAGGAGGCCGGCCTTCCCCTGAGGCAGATGGGCCATATGTCCAGGTCCTGCCTGAGGCCGGATGACAGAGGCCTTCTGAAGGAAAGGTCACCGTCTCCAGCGCAGCTGTGTATTTGGCGAAGGCAGCGCCAGGTGGGGCTCCTTCTGAGGCCCTTGAGGCCTGGACCTCGCCGGCAGCCGGACTTTATCTCGGTTACTGAGAATGGAAGAAGGCTCAGCTCCTAAATAACCACCTGGCCGGGCAGCCGGCCTCTCTCCCGGGCCTCTTCAAGGCCAGCGTGTCCCCTGCCCAGCAGCGAGGGCGGCGGGAGGGCCAGTGGCGGCTCGGAAGCCCGGTGGGGAGGCGGGGGAGCACGGAGAGGGGTCTCAGGCCTGGGTTCAGAGCAAGGTTAGCCAAATAGTGGCTAAATTAAGCAAGGGAAACAGACAGCTCCCCTCGTGGTGAACTTTTCACCCAGCTAACCTGCTCCTCACCCACTCTCAGGTGGTGGCGGCGGCTCCCACCCCACAGCTGTCACCTCCCGAGGGATTGTCACCTCCCGAGGGATTGTCACCTGCCTCCTCCCGCAGGCCCTGCCACTGCAGCCCAGGTGGGAGTCCGAGGGCACAGGGCCCAGGACAGGCCCAGGCCTTGCCATCACCCCACTCAGAGATGCAGGTTTGGGCCCACACAAAGGTCACACCCGGCAGAATCTGGGTCCCCGTCTCACTCCCCCACATGACGCTTCACTGGAAAGGTCACACAGGTCTGCCAAACCCCGGTCTGCACCCTTGTGAGGGACAGGGGACCCTTGTAGGAGGCCTGAATTATCCTACTTGGCATTGGCCCTGGAGGTTTGGGGTGGGTCCTTAGCATGACCCTGGCCATCTCCTCCTCCATTTGTGCCCAGCCTGAGTCACCTTGGGGTATCTTTAGGGAGCAAGAGGAGAGGCTGGAAAAGGGCATGAGGGTCGGGGGTCCCCGAGAAGGCAGGAGGATCTGCAGAAGAGCTGGAGGTCTCTGGGCCCAGCCATAGCCATCCTCCTGTAGCCATCTGGTCTACCCATGGCTGCCCAGCCTGCTGCTGCTCTGAAAAGATGTGTGACCCAAAGGCACAGCTGAGCCATACTAGGGTAAGGGGCAGGACCCAGACAGGGTATGGAGGGCACCGGAAGTGGGTGGCCTGGTGCTCATTCTCTCCACAGGCAAGTAGGGACTGAGTGTTGCAGCAGCTGAGCACTATGCCCAATCTGGGAACACAGAGTGGAGGAGCCAGCCTAGGCACCAGGGCTTATGGAGGTGGCAGAGACATCATGGAGTCGTCAGAGCAGGGCTCTGGCTGCTGTTGCCCCAAAGGCCTCTCAGGGGAGGCAGCCTTTGATCTAAGGTCTAATGAGAAGGTGGGGGGGCTCGTGGGAGGAGGGCAGAGCTGGGCAGAGTCAGAGGCACAGGGCTGGGGCTGTGTTACAGGCCACAAAGTGAGCAGGGGCCAGGAGGGGTTGTGAGCTCAGAGAGGCCCTCGGCCCTCAGATGTGTTGTGTGCCCAGGAGGCGGAGGTCAGGGTGAACCGTGGTTCTGTCACTTGACATCCCGGTGACCTGGGCACGTGACTTCAGAGTCTCAGTTTGGGCTTCTGCGTAATGGGGGCTCGATCGTGACCTCCCCAGGACCAGAGAACAGCTGGAGGAGGAGGACTTGGGACTCGGCGCAGGCAGCGTGGGAGCATTAGGCTCCTTCCTGCTGTCACAGGCATCGGAGCACAGCGACAATCCATGAGGAGATGAAGCTGCAAGCTTTGGGCCCCAACTCAGTCTAATTTCCTCCGCCCTGGGGAATCGTGCGGAGCTGGAGGGCCTGAGGTCTCAGTAGGAAGAGAGACAAGGACCATCCTGCAGCCTTTTCCCCCAGTGTCCCTGTTCCTGTGACCATGGACTCTGAGAAGTCACCCTTCTTCAGGGCGCCTGGAGCCATCTTCCCTTTAAGCATTTGCGGTCAAATAGTGTCCGGATCTTGAGCGCTTGAGTCGTGTTCCTGGATGGACCTGTGGTGCTCACCTGAGAGTCACAGGATGTGGCCAGGGAACTCGGTCCAGGATAGAGAAGGAAGGGAATGTAACTCTCCCACAAAGAGACCCCAGATTCTGGACAGTCTTCCCAAGGATCCATAAACCCTCGTTGTTCTTTTGTTTCCTAACATGAACATAGCTCTGTTTTCTGGTTAGAGTATGTAAGGCACTGTGGTCTTCAGCTGCCTGAGAGGCTGAGGCAGGAGGATCACAAGTTTGAGGCCAGCATGGGCAACATAGCAAGACTCTGTCTCAAAATAAAAAATAAAAAAGCCTAGGGGGTAGCTCAGTGGTAGGGCACTTGCCTAGCATATGGGAGGCCCTGGGTTCAATCCCCAGTGTCAAACACCGATATGATAGATGATAGATAGATAGATGACAGACAGACAGACAGACAGACATTTTCACTGTCTATCTAGCTATTTATTTGTTTTGGTTTTTTGAGACAGGATCTCACTATGTAGCCCAGGCTGGCCTCGACTTCACAGCAGTCCTCCTGCCTCAGCCTCTGAAGTGCTGGGATTATAGGTGTGCACCATCACACCCATGATGAGACTGGGTAGAGTGGCACACACCTGGAATCCCAGCACTCAGGAGGCCGAGGCAGGAGGATCGCCAGAAGTTCAAGGCCAGCCTGAAGTACATAGCGAGGCGGGTCCCCAACCAGCCCAGTGCTCCCAGCAGAGGCACAGAATGGATGAATGAAAGTAGGATGGGAAAAAGTGACCCCATGTCAAACTCACTCACGTGACCCTTCTGAGAGAGCTGAGTACATCGCTGTAGCCCTGCGCTCTCCTCCCCCGGGAGACAGGTTCTCTCTCTGGGACTGAGCTCGGCCAGCGGCGGGATTTCCCCCAGGGACCGTGACCTTCCTACTTTCTGTCTTTCCCACAATTCCTGGGCCAGGGGCTTCCCGGAGCACAGGGTCCATCCACGGGCTCATTGTATTCAAATGCGTATCCAGCATTATGGAAAGATGCTGTCATGACAAGGAAGAAAAATGAAAAAAAAAGAAATGCTGGGTCATCATGGTCCCCGGGGAAGCAGTACTTCCCTCGGTGCCTGCGACCTGTGACCCCGACACCCCGCTCAGCAGGCCACTCTGGACAGCAGGGCCGCAGTTGGTTTTACTTATCTTTGCAATTTAGATTTTCACGTAACGCTATAGATGTTTTCAGTATTTTCACGATACTGAAGCTTCAAACTTCTTTTGAAGATCAGTTTGATGGCTTCATACTACTTTGTGTGGTTTTTACCGTATTTTGGAAAAGCTCTTTTCCTGACAGATGTTTGGGTTGCTTCCAGGTTGGTTTTTGTCGTCATAGTTGTTTGCTTTTGCCATTGATAATAATGTACCTGTGGTTGTTTGTTTCTTTATGGTACTGGGGACTGAGCCCAGGAGGGCTTTTGCACTGAGCTACATCCCCAGCCCTTGTTTACTTTTTATTTTGTGACAGGGTCTCGATAAGTTGCTAATTACTCCAGCTGAGCTTGCACTTGTGATCCTCCTGTCTCAGCCTCCCAGAGTGCCCCCTCACCCAGCTCCCATGTCTATTTTAGCAGCTCTGGCTTTTTCCATCTT